TGTGGCATAATAAAAGCTCCGCTGCTTTACCCCACATACACACGACTGGAAGCAGCGGAAGCACTCGACTGTGGCATAATAAAAGCTCCGCTGCTTTCGAGCCGCGTGTCACGCTCGTTCAGCGGCCTAGTTTCGCTTCGACGGCTTTCAGCCTCACCCTGCTTCATTCTACTACGTTAATAAATCATTAGCTCATCTATGAACATGATTTCTGCCCGAGTCCCGTCAGATTGCATCGGCTGTGGGGATGAAGACCACAACTCCCATGATTCCACACTCAGTCACAGCATCATCAAACTATGCCTCTGTCTATTTGTTTATTTTGAATACGCGCCCTCTAGCGGCGAAAATTACATATTGTGCCTTTAAGCATGAATTAATGCATATTAGTGCCACCGTATTGTAAAGTGTTACCGGAAAGTTCTCTAAGCCATACAATATGATATGGTTCTTCTGGTTCTTCTGATTTCCATTTTATAGCTATAAATTTCTTTGCTACTATCAGAGCCATCTTAACCAAACGTAAATTCTTCCTTTGATCAAGCTGAAGAACTGATTCATCCCCCAATAACATAGATCTCAGATTAGATGGAAGCATAACATTAACCATTTTGTCAATAGTTTGTATTATGTTTCTTCAATAGGGTTTAAGTAACTGAGTAAGCATCTTGATGGGGAAGATGGGAAATTAGGTACCCATTTCACCAAACACCCATTCCTTGTACATGCAGTTGACGAAGAAGATGGGTGACTGAGTGATGGCCATGAGGAAGTCGCTCACTGCCAGATTCATGATGAAGTAGTTCGGAGGTGTCCGTAGTTTCTTGTTACTGAAACACAAAAAGTACCTTCAGTCACAGTCCCAGTTTCAGAAACTCATAGATGTAAAGCAAAAGCATGTTATTTATGGCCATTTCCTCAAAACATCAGCTAAACTCATTGACTTTGACCAACCAAACACATGCGTCACCTCACACTCCTTTAAACCTTTAATGCACAGATATTTCACCAGATATAAAATACAATTATTTTCACTTTCATATGATCAAACTATGCAGTTAGTGATAACTGGAATGTATCTCTATATAAATTCAAAGATATATATATATAGGTAAGGAGTGCATTTTGCATGATGCATTATCAAATTGAAATGAAAGAGTCTGTTGAATCTTCAGAACATTTTTTTTTACTTAGCACGCGTTTTTATATATTGAGTATCATATTTGATCCATTAGACTTTTATGGCTCATATAGCCCGATATAGAGGGAAATTATCTGGAGGAAAAAACAGCTCATTTTCATTCAGAGACAAAAAATAAATAAATACATTTGAAAAAATATATGTAATTAGGTGCAGAAGCTGATATTTATGTGGACAGAAAGTGATGAAATTCTGATGCTTGTAATGTAAATCAACGAGATCTTTATAACAGTGCAGCAGATACTTACATAAAATGATCTAAATATCAGTGGTCGCTCTATATCTCCAACAATATGTCTTACTAAGACAAGATTGACATGATCCAAAAATATACTGCAATGCAATCCAATGATGATTGAGAGCTGAAGAAATAAAGGCTCCTCAGAAGATGTGAGATGTTCTGGAGGCTTGTGAAGATCATTCCTCCGCTGAGGAACAGTGAAAGTAAAGCTTCTGGAAACAAACGCTCCTCAAAACATCCTGATGATCAGATTTGAGATGCTAAAATATGATTGATGGAGAATCAAGTAAAGCTGAGCTGCTTCAGTCCAGTAAGTGTTCATCTGGAAATATGACTACAGTTATTCTGACGTTTACTTGATAAAAATCAGTCAAGATTTGACAGCAGAAACACACGGGAAGCAGCAGCTGAAGCTGGAGGTTTATACAATTACACTAAAAGGGCTTTTACTGCAACTCTAAACTATCAATCAGACGACAGAAGACATGCAGTATATTGTGTGTGACAGGTTTAACAGCAAAGTCTTCATTATGTTGCTCATTTAGAAACCTATAAAATGTGATACAGTTGGGTTAAAACAGTGCTAGAAACTTCTACACACTTTGATGGTGGTAAATATAAGTTTATTGATTCAACACATTGCGTCTGAGGTGTTTCATCACACAACAATCATTGTGATTGCACATCATCTCATTAATCCTACAGTCACAGTTCACACAATTTCCTCTGACTGAAAGTCCCCCATCTGAAACCCTCATCCCCGTCCATCAGGCATTAGAGCTGCAGGAGACATCAGCAATTCACGGGAACAACACGGCCTTTCCTAGAAAGCTCTCAGCTGACAGACGACCTCCAGAGAGACACTGCAGCTCACTTCACGAGGACGAGTTGTGATTCTCAGTCAGGATTAAAATCCTCACATACAGTATGATGAAAGTCTGTTAATGCTGCTGGTTGACATCTGATTAACAGCAGTCATGTTTCGTTATTAGGTAACACCAGACATAATCTGGGACAGAGATGGATTGTGACTTTTTTGCATATATTGGACAATGTTAAAGGACAATGTTAAAGTTCCTGTCTCAAGGAACTTTGCTGCCTACTGGCTTGTGGGGTTTTTATGATATGACTTTTTATTCATCGTTGGATCTGCATCACCTAAACCCTAAAGTTGGGCCGCCACTGCCCATCAGCCTATATAATCACTGCGTTGCTCTTGGTATCGCTCGCCGGCCTCGATACATACATCGGGGTTCTCGCAAACACTGCACTGGGCTCACTACCTCAGTTACCTCAGCTGATGGATGTACTATCCCCGTTGTCTGGTCCTCTTCTCGCCGACTGTACGCTAAAACACACAGAGAGGGTGGAAATATAAACTTTGTAAACCACCGTTCTCTGTTTGCTTCCTCTGCAACAGTTCTGCCTTCAGTGAAAATGGCTCTAGTATACGCTAGGTCATTTTCAAATAAAACATTCATTATGAACAACTTTTTCTCATCTCACGCCTTGGATTTCCTGTTTGTGACTGAAACGTGGCTGAAATCTGATCACCGTTCGTCTCGGGGTGAACTATCTCCTTCTGACTGTTCTTTTTATAGCTCTCCCAGGCCAAATAGACCTGGTGGTGGTCTAGCAACAATTTTCAAGAAGTCATTCAAATGTCGACTACTGCCTGTAGATGCCTTTTCTAGTTTTGAGGCAACTCTTGAGTATCGATCTCAATGGTCCTCTAATCTACTCCTGGTTTACAGACCTCCCAAAGTTAGTACAACGTTTATTCATGAGTTTTCAGACTTTGTCAAATCAAGTGTCACGCTGTGATAGACTGTTGGTTCTGGGGGATTTTAACATCTATGTCTGCTGCCCCTCTAAACCTATGGTTAACAATTTTATGGGCCCTATTTTAACGATCTAAGCGGAAGGTCTAAAGCACACGGCGCAGTACACTTTGGGCATGTCCAAATCCACTTTTGCTAGTTTAACGATGGGAGAAATGGTGGGCGTGCCCGGCGCATGGTCTAAAACGGTTGTCCCTATTCTCTTAATGAGTAATGGGTGTGCTTTGGGCAATAAACTGATTGGCAATAAACCAATCAGAGTCTCATCTCCCATTCCCTTTAAGAGCCAGTTTTGATCGCGCCATGGCGGATGTGCTATTTGGGCCTACACAGCGGAATTTGCAAGCGCAAAGACAGAACGTGTCTCCAGAGAGGAAACAGAGCTGCTCGTGCGCGAGCAAATAGGTAGCCTAATTCTGATACATGCAATGACTATCCATTATGACATGTAGGCATTTTTATATTTATGTAGCCTACACAATAATAATCTTTTACATTGTAATCCTTTAATTTTTAATATTTGGCATGTTTGTGTGCTGCTGCGCATCCCTGTGTTTGTAATAAGCAGAGCGTACACCCGCTGTGGACCCCCGCTCTTTAAATATCAAAAAAACTAATGCGCCATTGACTTTAGACCAGATTTTAGTTGGTCAATGGCGCAGTCTATTTCAGTTGCCTCAAAATAGCAATGCACCAATAATGGGCCTGAACACACTTCGTTTTCAGACCAGCACGCCCATGAGCGCATAAATGGGCGCAAATGCATTTGCTATTTAAACAACGTGACGCAGGACGTGAAAATGTTTACTGCGTCGGGCTGAAACTAGCAAAAAACACTTGTGTCGTGCCTGGTGCCGCATTGCTTAGAGAGGTGTTGGACACTGTTTGCCCTGCCCTTGTAACTATTATAAACAGTTCTTTGACTAGTAGGGTTTTCCCAGAGTCCTTTAAACATGCTTCTGTACAGCTGTTAAAAAGATCTCACCTTGATCCATCTGTTCTTAGTAACTACCAGCCGATTTCTAAACTCCCATTTATTTCTAAGGTTTTAGAGAAAGCAGTGCTTCACAGTTTACTTCTTATCTGGATGCTTTTAACATTCTGGATAAGTTCCAATCGGGAGCACTTCAAAGTACAGAGTCGGCCTTGCTTAAAGTTATGAATGATCTTTTGCTGTCCATTGATTCGGGGTCATCTGCCATTCTGATACTGTTAGATTTGAGTGCAGCCTTCGACACTATTGACCATGACATCCTCTTGAATCAACTCAAATGTGTAGTAGCGGTTCAAGACACGGCATTACAGTGGTTCACCTCTTATTTAAAGGGTAGGACTTTTTAAGTAAATATCGGGTCGTTTACCTCACCTTCTGCGCCTATTCCTTATGGTGTTCCACAGGGTTCTATTCTTGGCCCTTTATTGTTCTCGCTCTACATGCTTCCTCTAGGCTCCATTCTCCAGAAATATAATATTAACTATCATTGCTACGTCAATGACCTCCAACTTTACCTTCCAATCAAACTTGAAAATGACTGTTCTTTACAACTTTTCTCATGTTTTGACGAAGTGAGAACTTGGATGGCTAATAATTTTTTTGCAACTAAACGCTGACAAAACTGAGGTGATTCTGCTAAGCCCGCTGCACTCAATACTACTCTTACGAGTAGGTTAGGTTCCCTTAGTGATAACTTACAACACCATGTAAAAAATCTAGGGCTCTATTTCGAACCATTACTACAATTTGACAAGCATATAAGCATGGTTGTAAAGAGTAGCTTCTTCCACCTCAGATTTGTCACAAAAGTTAAACATTTTCTCTCTCGAAAAGATCTCAAAATTGTCATCCATGCATTAATCTCTTCCAGCCTTCACTATTGTAACTCTCTGTATGTCGGCCTTTCTCAATGCACTTGGCTTCAGATGGTTCAGAATGCAGCAGCCAGATTGTTGACAGGAACAAAAAAGAGGGAGCATATTCAGAGTTGATTTTAAGATCCTTCTTTTTTGTATACAAGGCATTGCAAAAGTCGCAAAATGCAGCTGGAGGGCAGGAAGTGATTTTTCTCCATAGGAATCACTAACAGAAACTCAAAATGCCAGTGTTTTGCGTTGTTTATGGATGCTTAAATTGGCTAAACAGAGAAACCACTAGGAGCTTTTATCATGTACGTGTGGTGTTCATAAGTGGGGGAAAAGTCAAGAAAGTAATTGAAAAACGCTTGGAAAAAGTGGCTTGTAAACCTGTCTGCGGTCGGGAGGAGCGAAGGTCGTGTGATAATGCTCGTGTGTGTAAATGGTTATTATAGGATATAATAATATATTAAGATATTCAGCCTTCAGTGAAAATGGCTCTAGTAAATGCTAGGTCATTGTAAAACATTGAACAACTTTTTCTCATCTCACGCCTTGGGTTTTCTGTTTGTGACTGAAGCCTGATGACCGTTTGTCTCTGGGTGAACTATCTCCTTCTGACTGTTCTTTTTATAGCTCTCCCAGGCCAAATAGACCTGGTGGTGGTCTAGCAACAATTTTCAAGAAGTCATTCAA